GTGTGTGTGATTGTACGTGTTTGCGCGTGTTTGTGCGTGTCTGTGCGTGTTTGCGCATGTGCACGTGTGTGCGCGTGTGCGCGTGCGTGTGTGTGTGTGCCTATATGGCTCTGAATGCGTGTGCGCGTGTGTGCGCAGGTGCGCATGCGTGTGTGGGCGCGCAGGCGCTGGCATGGGCACGGGCGCTTTCGTGTGCATGTGCATGTGCATGTGCATGTGCACGTGCACATGTATGTGCGTCTGCGTGTGCCTGTGGCGTTGCGTGTATGTGTGTGTGTGTGTGTTTGCGGGTGTGTGTGTTTGTGTGTGTTTGTGTGTGTTTGTGTGTGTGTGTTGGTGTGTGTGTTTGTGTGTGTGTTTGTGTGTGTGCGTGCATGCGTGCATGCGTGCATGCGTGCATGCGTGCGTGCGTGCGTGGGTGTGGGTGTATGTGTGTGTGTGTGTGTGTCTGTGTGTGTGTGTGTGTCTGTGTCTGTGTCTGTGTCGGTGTCTGTGTCTGTGTGTGTCTGTGTGTGTCTGTGTCTGTGTCTGTGTGTGTGTGTGGGTGTGTGTGTGTGTTTGCGCGTGTCTGCGCGTGCTTGTGCGTGTGTGATTGTACGTGTTTGCGCGTGTTTGTGCGTGTCTGTGCGTGTTTGCGCATGTGCGCGTGTGTGCGCATGTGCGCGTGCGTGTGTGTGTGTGTGTGTGTGCCTATATGGCTCTGAATGCGTGTGCGCGTGTGTGCTTAGGTGCGAGCGCTTTCGTGTGCATGTGCATGCGCATGTGCATGTGCACATGCACATGTATGTGCGTCTGCGTGTGCCTGTGGCGTTGCGTGTATGTGTGTGTGTGTGTGTTTGCGGGTGTGTGTGTGTGTTTGCGCGTTTGTGTGCTTACGTGTTTTCGTGTTTTCGTGCTTGCGTGTTTGCGTGTTTGCTTGTTTGTGTGTTTGTGTGTGTGTGTTTGTGTGCTTGGGTGTGTGTGTGTGTGCTTGTTTGCTTGTGATTGTGTGTTTGTGTGGTTGTGCGTGTGTGTGTGTGTGTTGTGTGTCTTCTGTGTGTTTGTGTGTTTGTGTGTTTGCGTGTTTGTGTGTTTGCGTGCTTGCGTGTTTGGTGTTTGCGTGTTTTGCGGCGTGTCTTGCGTGTTTGCGTGTTTGCGTGTTTTGCGTGTTTTGCGTGTTTGCCTCTTTGCGTGTTTGCGTGTTTGTGTGTCTGGGTGGTTACGTGTTTCGATGGTCGTGTGTTTGCGTGTTTGTGTGTTTGTGTGTTTGCGTGGTTGTGTGCTTGTGTGCTTGTTTGTGTGTTTGTGTGTTTGTGTGTGTGTGTGTTTGTGTGTGTGTGTTTGTGTGTGTGTTTGTGTGTGTGTGTTTGTGTGTGTTTGTTTGTGTGTGTGTTTGTGTGTGTGTGTGTGCGTGTTTGTGTGAGTGTGTGTTTGTTTGTGTGTTTGTGTGTTTGTGTGCTTGTGTGCTTGTGTGCTTGTGTCTTTGTGTGTTTGTGTGTGTGTGTGTGTTTGTTGGTTTGTGTGCTTGGGTGTTTGTGTGTTTGTGTGTGTGTTGCGTGTTTGTTTGTGTGTTTGTGTGTTTGTGTGTTTGTGTGCTTGTGTGCTTGTGTGCTTGTGTGCTTGTGTCTTTGTGTGTTTGTGTGGACGAGTGGTTGTGTCTTTTTGTGTTGGTGTGTTTGTGTGTGTGTGTGTTTGTGTGCTTGGGTGTTTGTGTGCTTGTGTGCTTGGGTGTTTGCGTGTTTGCCTATTTGCGTGTTTGTGTGCTTGTGTGTTTGTGCGTTTGTGTTTGTGTGTTGTGTTTCTGCTTCTGTTTCTGTTACTGTGTTTGTCCCTCTCTCTCTCTGTTTCTGTGACTGTGTCTGTTTCGTGTCTGATTATGTTTCTGTCTGTGTTTGCGCGTGTGCTTGTACGTGTTTGTGTGTGTGTGGGTGAGTGCGTGCGTGTGTGCATGCGCATGCGCCCGGGTGAAAGCGCTGGTTCGCTCGAGCACGCGTGTGCGCGTGTGCGTTACGCGTGTGCGTGTGTGTGTAATGCCTGTGCCTTGTGTGACGCCACGCTGCTGGATACAGGTCAAAGCAAACAGCCCGCTGCCTCTGTTCATGAAGAATGTTTGCGAGAAAGCAGCGAGTGCGACAGTAGCAGAAACAGACAGCGCGAGCCTAGGCTCTGCGTGTAATTTTTCAATCAATGGAATGTAGGCATTTCGGCTCAAAGGTACAATGTGTGTTTGTAGGCATGCGTGCAGAAACACATAAACACATGCAAAGAGCGTCCAGAGGCCGCTTTCGCGAAGCCCTGTTCACCGAGTCGCTGCCCCGCAGCAAGCCGTCAAGCAATGACACCTGGGACTAGATGTGACAAACTCGAAGCGATGCCGGGGTCGCAACTCCCAAGAAGGCATTCAAAACAAACTCCGACTATGTCAGCTGGTCAACAATATGGGCCCCTTTTTTGGGACCTGGTCATTGACTGGGGTACCCTAACGGACACCACTTGAGTCACAATCAAAACAAGGAATTGAAATTTTCTATCCAGAGCCATGTGAAGAGTGACCAAGGCGGCGGCACCCATTTCTGGTTGGGACCGTCCCTTGTTACCCTCCAATTACCCGGGTTTTGATTGTGGCCGCTTTACGAAACCTAGACATTCTTCTCGCAACATTTCGTTGAGGCCCCTGCAAGGCGTGGCTACATCGCAGCAAGGCATTCTCCACCATGGACCTCAGCTCCAGCGCTTAACCCTTGATCTGGGGAAGCCCCCTGCACGCTTCCATTGTTGGAGGGAGGGTATGAGGAGATCTCCATACCCTTGATGTTACAGACCATCTCTTTGCGTCAAAGAATGCGGACCTCTAGTCAGAAAGAAAATGACACACAGCAACCCTTTCTCAGCCGACATTGCCAAAGAACCCTCCCAACCACTGCATAGCCTGCCAGCACCTTTTGCACAGAACTGCGGCCACGTCCACAGCAGCTCAAACCGGGAATCCGCGCACCGCCGGCGACAGCACCATGACTAGGAAGAGCGCCTCTCAGCATCTCGAGTACTTTGAAATGGCTTTCCTTGCAGACTGAAAGGCACAAAGGTAGCCTGAAGGCAAGAGATTTTGTGTCAAATGACAAACCAACTCTACGAGCCAAAAGCTCAATCAACTTCAGGCCCCAACCCAAAGGAAGGGCCGGAACACAGAGCGCAGCAGCCCCATGATGTAGACCACGCAGGCAACTGGGCGACGGGAAACAGGAAGTCTCTGGCAACTTGTTCGACAAGTGCGGCAATTCATGTCGAATTTGAATTCAAGATTGAAAATCTAACACAAATCTAAGTGTTAGCATTTGCATTCTTTCGTATCCTTCTGAACAACTGCCAAGTCAAACAAGTTCATACTAAATTCGGAAACATTACATGATGCTACACCAACTAGCCAACGCATAGTCACACGCTAGACAACGCAAAAGATTCATGGTCAGTTCCGAGTGCAACTCAGCTCTTTCCCAAGTTCTCTCAGCCCTCCCTTACAAAATAATCTACTGGGTTGCAAAAAATGCTAAGCCAGCGCTGTTTAGCACGTAGACCATGCTTAAACTTGGCATTATACGCATGAATTGCTGTTGTGCGCCGCATATATTTTACAGAGTAGTGAGTAGCACGTTGGCTTAGGTGTAAGTGGACCCTCTTTTTTTGCAGCAATACTGGTGATTGGTTGGCATTGGTGAGCATGGGTTTGGTATACTACAGGTGTTGTTCTTTACAGGGCACGCGCTTCCAATATTGACGCCCATTGGCCTCCATGACATGCAGAAGCCAGGCACCCCGACTGCAGACAAGAACGAGAGCCTGCCAGGTGATTAATGCACAGCCGGTATTCCCCTCATCGAATAGTTGTCCTTGGATAATACTACGCCCTGCACGCTATGTCAGTATGAAGAGTTGGTGGACTTGTGCAGCCGAGGCCAGGCAGACTGGTCGCCGCTTTCTTGCCAAGCCCCTTTGCCATCAACATGCCGCGCCGGGTCTGAGGCTTGGGCCAGAAAGCTAAAATGTGCTCGGAAGTCCTCCGTGGTAAACCTGGGAAGGGCCAAGGCCCGGGGTTGAAGAAACAAATTGTCCCCAAGCCGACGAAGCTCCATGCCACATCTCGGCAAACCCAACTGAATCGTCACAATGTTCACGGCTTGGTCGTAAGGAGCCCCGCTTCTTTGCATGGCGTCGGACCAACCTTAGCTGGCAGTGGGCCTACACTGCGCCAGCCATCTTGCCGCCAAGCGGTCAACCTGGGCCTAGTCCTGCAAGACCGAAGGTTGGCTTCATGCCACGTGCCTGCCTAACTTGGAGGGATCCAAGCAAAGCTGCAAATCATGTCATGCTTCCTGAGGCGCGACGGCATCGTGACTGCCAGGCCGCCTTGCAACGGACGAAATTCAAAGAAATGTCGTGACGAAATTCAAACAAATGTCGTCTACTCCATCCCCCGGCCTGCCATGCACTGGAGGCTGGGGCAATGTCTATGAGCGCAACATGCGGTGCAGAGCTGCTGTGTTGCGTGTGTTGTGTGCGTTTATCTGCTTGCTGTTTGTTCAGCCGGCCAAGCAGACTGTGACAAATAAGCCCACTAAACTGTGACCGGCTTCGACGTGCAAGGCAACACGCTGCGTTTCACTTGCTTGAAAGCCGGATGTTGTTTCAAGCGTGAACAATACTTACGTATGCACTCCAACAGTGTTGTCGTCCATAGGGCCTCTTCAGGGCATGAACTTGATTGGTAGCGGCTGTCAAGAGTTTGCCCAGCTTGGAATCCCAAGACAAGTCCAGTCTTCGGTGTATCATGAAACAATATGTCACATGATTGATCAACAAACACATTTGAGAAGTGTTCTGAAACATGTTGAAGTTTGGCTAAGGCAAAATAACTGAAAGTCTCCGAAGGTTGCGTTTCCTATTCCCATTGAGCAAGAACCGGAACCTCGTACCCAAATGGCTTGGGCGTCATACAGCAAGCCACGGCATCAACACGCCCTTTTCAATGAACCATGCAAAATCCACTGCTAACAGCCCATATTAGACTGTCGCAGATTGGTATTTGTTTTACGCCAAGTTGGTCATATCAACCAGCGAGACAAAACTAGAAGCTTGGCTTAATCCACACGAAACAGCAACTTACAAGATGCCAGTCAGCCTTGCAACACATGAATTGTACCTGCGTCCCTGACTGTCACGACAACATCCAAATTTGCAGGGTGGCTACGCTGGGCATTCTCACAAACCTGATTTGCCCAGTGGCCGCTTCTTGCACGCCGTAAAAGCATGTGCATCTTTCAAGAAACGAATAGCGACAGTCTCAGCCCTCGTCACTTCTCAAATGATAAGGGCGGGGATGATGGCTCGGACAAGCTTGCTGTGCACCTGGCTGACAAAACAATCACAACACACGCACACAGCCACACACACACACACACGCAAAGGCACACTTGTGATACAGAACAGGTGCAGCACTACATCTACAAATACAGAAGCGTCGCAGCGCGTACATGTATGCGCATGTATGAACAAGGTGAGCAACGATTAAACTAAGATCTTGGAAACACAACAGCAGCACTTTGAACAAGATGTTGGTGTGTGTGTGTTGTGTGTGTGTGTTGTGTGTGTTGTGTGTGTGTTGTGTGTGTGTTGTGTGTTGTGTGTGCGTGTGCGTGTGCGTGTGCGTGTGCGTGTGCGTCTGCGTGTGCGTGTGCGTGTGCGTGGGCGCGTGCGTGGGTGTGGGCGTGGGCGTGGGCGTGGGCGTGGCGTGGGCGTGAGCGTGGGCGCGGGCGTGGGCGTGGGCGTGGGCGTGAGCGTGGGCTGCGTGTGTGCGTGTGCGTGCGCGTGTGCGTGTGCGTGGTGTGCGTGTGCGTGCCTGTGTGTGTGTGCCTGTGTGCGTGTGTTTGTGTGTGTGTGTGTTTGTGTGTGTGTTTGTGTGTGCCTGTGTGTGTGTGTTTGTGTGTGTGTTTGTGTGTGTGTGCCTCTATGTGTGCCTGTGTGTGTGTGTGCCTGTGTGCGTGAGTGTGATTGTGAGTGCGAGTGCGAGTTGCGAGTGCGAGTGCGAGTGCGAGTGCGAGTGCGAGTGCGAGTGCGAGTGCGAGTGCGAGTGCGAGTGCGAATGCAAGTGCGAGTGCGAGCGCGAGCGCGAGTGCGAGCGCGAGGGCGAGTGTGAGGGCGAGTGCGAGTGCGAGTGCGAGTGCGAGTGCGAGTGCGAGTGCGAGTGCGAGAGCGAGTGCGAGTGCGAGTGCGAGTGCGAGTGCGAGTGCGAGTGCGCGTGCGAGTGCGAGTGCGAGTGCGAGTGCGCGCGCGAGTGCGAGTGCGAGTGCGAGTGCGAGTGCGAGTGCGTGTGCGTGTGCGTGTGCGTGTGCGTGTGCGTGTGCGTGTGCGTGTGCGTGTGCGGG